TTCTTTATAAATCAACCAGTCTCAGGTATTCTGTTATAGCGACACAAAATGTAGTGATATACGGGATTCTAGTTTCTATGGCTTGCCTCAGGGGAGAATGAATCTGACACATAGGAGAGCAGAAACTCACAGGAAAACTTTGCTTGTGAGGGTGCTTCTGAGGCCTTCACTTTAAGGTACTGCTTTCTGGGCCCCAAAACAACAAAAAACTGCTCCTAATTCTCCAGACACACAGTGCTCTATTTATATTTCCATAAATTTGTTTAGATTGCCCTCCTCCCTGTTGCATGATCCAAGGAAAGTATGAGGGGTTTTTGCTACATCTTAGCACATGCTCATCCTATTCTACAGTCATCTCAGTCAGAACTCCCCTTGGGGTACAGTGAGGAAAATAGAGTAGTTTTCCTCCCCTTGGGGTACAGTGAGGAAAATAGAGTAGGGTGGTGCAGCACATACTTTGTAAACAAGTTGTGTGGGGGTGGAGTTAGCACCATGCATGCCCGTGTATTTTTAGCTTGTTGCTATTCTTATGTGTTCTTCAGTGTGTGAAGCAGTGGCTGGGCAGAGCTCCGTCTAAAAATAGAGCACATTTACTTTGCTGGCAGCTGCTCAGTTTCTCTTTGGACTGTATAGCTCTTAGAGGTGTGTGTGCTGAATAAAGACTATTCTTTTTTCACCTATGGCTCCAAGGACCTTTTTCCTGTTACCTAGCTCATACACCTGCGTGTGAAAGGTTTGTGACCCAGTCTGGACAACAGGCTCAAGGAGTCTGTGAGCTCCAGACCCAGCCCTAGCTCTATAGACACTATTCATCACTCTAGACTGTGATACTGCCTTATTTGTGTATTTGTGTTTGAGGGTGGGGAGTAGAGTTTAAAACGTTTTTCCCCAAGTAGATAATCAATCATCCCAAAATAATTCACTGAATGGTCCATTCTTGCCTCCTTAATTTGGAATGTTACCTCTATCATAAAATAAAAGCTTGGATATATATATCACATCTATCTTGGGAGGCTGTATTATCTCCCACTGATCTATTTGCTGATTTTTGCATGTCAAATACCAAGTGTTTTTAATTATTGTTTGCTTTATTTTGCATATCCCAAGTGGCCATGAAGGTTAAATATGTTTTCATTTTTCTTAGCCATTTGCGTTTTCGCTTCTGAGGATATCCAATTCATATTCTTCACTCATTTGTCCATTACATATACTTAAGAATCCCTCCAGGTCTTTCAACTTTATTTATGGTGTCTTCCATAAAAATGAAGTTTTTAATTTGGATGCAATTAAATTTTTCATCTTTCCCTCTACGGCTTTTCATATCTCGCTAAGTGTTCCTTTCCCTCTCTCAAAAGTTGTAGAACTACAAGTCTCTCATATTTTCTTCATTGTCTTCCATGTTTAGGTCACTAATCCAGCCGTACCCTGTGGTTTAGCTAAACCCATAGAAGTGTGTCCCCTTCCAGATGACAACCAGTTCAGCTACCAGGATTCCAAAGGCCCTGTACGAGGGACAGGGAGCAGGGCGACTAGCTGTGACTACAGGTTCTGAACCTAACCCCGCAGAACCTCCTCCGTCCCGCCAAGACCCCGCCCCAGCCCTGCCCCACACCCACGCGGGGCAGTGCCCTGAGGCTGGCTCTTGAAGAGGTGCTGCAGCCATGGCGACGACGGTAGGCGGTGCGGCTTTCTTCCAGAGGGCCAGTCTGTTCTGGTTCACAGTCATCGGTCTCTCCTTCGGCTATTACACGGTAAGGCCAGTTGCCCGGCCAGAGCTGTGAGGGCTACAGTCCACGGAGGACCTGCGCCCGCAAGCTAGCAGGGGTCGCGCAGGCGCCGTCGGCTCTGGAGAGTTCGGAGCCGAGAGGGAGGGGACTCGCCCCGGAAGGAGACGCAGTCGCACCCAGGGCCTTCGGCCGGCGCTCGTTACCCTGAGAAACCGGTTAGCCAGGCATGTGCGGGGGCGGTTACGGCTCCCCGCCCGACGACTTAGTGTCTGGGTCTTTCAAGATGGCGGTGGCGAAGTCCGAGGCCGGCACGACTGCTACCGCCTACTTCCGTACGGCCAGACCCTTGCCCTCGCTGGTCACGGTCCTGGGGCTGGGCTACTTCGCGGTGAGGCGTGGGGCGGGCCGGCCTACCTTTTTTGGCCCAACAAGCCCTCGTAGGGCGAGGGGCGGTGTGGCAACGAGGTCTGTGCGCACGCGCTCCCGACGGTTGCCCAGGTTACCGGCGTAAGCGGAATTTCCTTCAGCTCTTAGGACGGTTTCTGCTGTAGGGCGTTCATGCGTTTGCGTTCTCGCCCCTTGTTCTGCGGTTTAAGCGAGTCCGAACCTCTGACGGAGAGGGAAGTCAAGCTGACAGACTGCCGTACGCCTGCCGAGTCGGGGGGCGCTTACGAAACAGGATATTTGGGGCGGTTGGAATTGCTTGGAAGAGGGGGATAAACCTGAAGGACGGGGTAGGACTTAATTGGGAAAAAGGAATAGAGAGGATTTAACTGTTATGGCATAGGTGTAGAAGCAAGAACACCGCTCTACTGAGAGGAAGAGCGACTTTTGTCTGGCTGAGAAAGAGTTCGTTAAAGCATAACAGGACGTACCAGCCAGCCGCAAAAATAATTTTAATATAATAATAATAAAACAGGACGTACCAGCCAGCCGCAAAAATAATTTTAATAATAATAATAATATAACAGGACGTACCAGCCAGCCGCAAAAATAATTTTAATAATAATAATATTTATTATTATTGTTAAAAAGTACAGTCTAAAGGATAACAGGAAAGATGTCTGGAAAAGTAGGTTCCAGGCGAAAGTAAGTTGCTATAATTTTGAAGGAAGGCAAAAGCTGTTTGGATATGGCACAGGAGATCCTGAAGACTGGGGATTTGTCATGTCCACAGTGATGTCGGTGTCAACGCTGACTACGTCTGTCCTAATTACCCTATGTGAAAAGTGGAGGCATTGAACTGACATTTTTCAATGATGCATTTTTATTCTCCAATTCCGCGTCTTTGGCCAGTTAGAGTATACATAGATGAACGCTTTGGGGACTTCAAATTGAAATTTTGTGGAGCTGGCAGATGCTGCCCTTTCCGTTTCCCTTGATTTGGGAGAATGTGATGTATTGCCTTGATTTGGGAGAACNTGCCCGTGTATTTTTAGCTTGTTGCTATTCTTATGTGTTCTTCAGTGTGTGAAGCAGTGGCTGGGCAGAGCTCCGTCTAAAAATAGAGCACATTTACTTTGCTGGCAGCTGCTCAGTTTCTCTTTGGACTGTATAGCTCTTAGAGGTGTGTGTGCTGAATAAAGACTATTCTTTTTTCACCTATGGCTCCAAGGACCTTTTTCCTGTTACCTAGCTCATACACCTGCATGTGAAAGGTTTGTGACCCAGTCTGGACAAAAGGCTCAAGGAGTCTGTGAGCTCCAGACCCAGCCCTAGCTCTATAGACACTATTCATCACTCTAGACTGTGATACTGCCTTATTTGTGTATTTGTGTTTGAGGGTGGGGAGTAGAGTTTAAAACGTTTTTCCCCAAGTAGATAATCAATCATCCCAAAATAATTCACTGAATGGTCCATTCTTGCCTCCTTAATTTGGAATGTTACCTCTATCATAAAATAAAAGCTTGGATATATATATCACATCTATCTTGGGAGGCTGTATTATCTCCCACTGATCTATTTGCTGATTTTTGCATGTCAAATACCAAGTGTTTTTAATTATTGTTTGCTTTATTTTGCATATCCCAAGTGGCCATGAAGGTTAAATATGTTTTCATTTTTCTTAGCCATTTGCGTTTTCGCTTCTGAGGATATCCAATTCATATTCTTCACTCATTTGTCCATTACATATACTTAAGAATTCCTTCCAGGTCTTTCAACTTTATTTATGGTGTCTTCCATAAAAATGAAGTTTTTAATTTGGATGCAATTAAATTTTTCATCTTTCCCTCTACGGCTTTTCATATCTCGCTAAGTGTTCCTTTCCCTCTCTCAAAAGTTGTAGAACTACAAGTCTCTCATATTTTCTTCATTGTCTTCCATGTTTAGGTCACTAATCCAGCCGTACCCTGTGGTTTAGCTAAACCCATAGAAGTGTGTCCCCTTCCAGATGACAACCAGTTCAGCTACCAGGATTCCAAAGGCCCTGTACGAGGGACAGGGAGCAGGGCGACTAGCTGTGACTACAGGTTCTGAACCTAACCCCGCAGAACCTCCTCCGTCCCGCCAAGACCCCGCCCCAGCCCTGCCCCACACCCACGCGGGGCAGTGCCCTGAGGCTCGCTCTTGGAGAGGTGCTGCAGCCATGGCGACGACGGTAGGCGGTGCGGCTTTCTTCCAGAGGGCCAGTCTGTTCTGGTTCACAGTCATCGGTCTCTCCTTCGGCTATTACACGGTAAGGCCAGTTGCCCGGCCAGAGCTGTGAGGGCTACAGTCCACGGAGGACCTGCGCCCGCAAGCTAGCAGGGGTCGCGCAGGCGCCGTCGGCTCTGGAGAGTTCGGAGCCGAGAGGGAGGGGACTCGCCCCGGAAGGAGACGCAGTCGCACCCAGGGCCTTCGGCCGGCGCTCGTTACCCTGAGAAACCGGTTAGCCAGGCATGTGCGGGGGCGGTTACGGCTCCCCGCCCGACGACTTAGTGTCTGGGTCTTTCAAGATGGCGGTGGCGAAGTCCGAGGCCGGCACGACTGCTACCGCCTACTTCCGTACGGCCAGACCCTTGCCCTCGCTGGTCACGGTCCTGGGGCTGGGCTACTTCGCGGTGAGGCGTGGGGCGGGCCGGCCTACCTTTTTTGGCCCAACAAGCCCTCGTAGGGCGAGGGGCGGTGTGGCAACGAGGTCTGTGCGCACGCGCTCCCGACGGTTGCCCAGGTTACCGGCGTAAGCGGAATTTCCTTCAGCTCTTAGGACGGTTTCTGCTGTAGGGCGTTCATGCGTTTGCGTTCTCGCCCCTTGTTCTGCGGTTTAAGCGAGTCCGAACCTCTGACGGAGAGGGAAGTCAAGCTGACAGACTGCCGTACGCCTGCCGAGTCGGGGGGCGCTTACGAAACAGGATATTTGGGGCGGTTGGAATTGCTTGGAAGAGGGGGATAAACCTGAAGGACGGGGTAGGACTTAATTGGGAAAAAGGAATAGAGAGGATTTAACTGTTATGGCATAGGTGTAGAAGCAAGAACACCGCTCTACTGAGAGGAAGAGCGACTTTTGTCTGGCTGAGAAAGAGTTCGTTAAAGCATAACAGGACGTACCAGCCAGCCGCAAAAATAATTTTAATATAATAATAATAAAACAGGACGTACCAGCCAGCCGCAAAAATAATTTTAATAATAATAATAATATAACAGGACGTACCAGCCAGCCGCAAAAATAATTTTAATAATAATAATAATATAACAGGACGTACCAGCCAGCCGCAAAAATAATTTTAATAATAACAATAATATAACAGGACGTACCAGCCAGCCGCAAAAATAATTTTAATAATAATAATATTTATTATTATTGTTAAAAAGTACAGTCTAAAGGATAACAGGAAAGATGTCTGGAAAAGTAGGTTCCAGGCGAAAGTAAGTTGCTATAATTTTGAAGGAAGGCAAAAGCTGTTTGGATATGGCACAGGAGATCCTGAAGACTGGGGATTTGTCATGTCCACAGTGATGTCGGTGTCAACGCTGACTACGTCTGTCCTAATTACCCTATGTGAAAAGTGGAGGCATTGAACTGACATTTTTCAATGATGCATTTTTATTCTCCAATTCCGCGTCTTTGGCCAGTTAGAGTATACATAGATGAACGCTTTGGGGACTTCAAATTGAAATTTTGTGGAGCTGGCAGATGCTGCCCTTTCCGTTTCCCTTGATTTGGGAGAATGTGATGTATTGCCTTGATTTGGGAGAACGTGATGTATTGCATGCGTTATTTCAATGTTGGATGTGTAAGAACATAATGGGAGAGGTAGTGTCGCCCTTAGCAGAGATCTGAATGGGATAACATTTTGGAGCTGTTAGCACTTAATTATTCTCAAAAAAGCCTAAACTAGCAGGGCTTACAACACAGAGGCTGAGGAAAAGTTGATAAGATTATAGAAGTTTTATGTGATTAAGCAGTTGCTATTAAAACTTTACAAACCTGATCTCACTTAGAGGTACAAAAAGTGAAAGAAGAGAAAGGGATTCTAAATTAAACAGGGGTTTGGCTCAAACTATAGTTTCTACAGTTAAGATAGGCCAGGCCCGTAAATGCTTAAAATTTGTTAATAACCTCTAAAAAATAATAGGTTTGGTGGAAATTAAGAATAGGAGTCTTCCACCCTGGACACTGAGTCTGATAACCTCATCGTTTCCTCAGCATAAATCTCACAGTAGAGCTTCTTTTAGAAAGTAAAAGTCAAGAATGGAGGCCCGGTGGGGCCTGCCCGGTGGTGCACTGCTACAGTGCACCGCTTGGGAAGTGCGGCGGCGCTCCCGCGGAGGGTTCGGATCCCACATACAGACCGGTTCCCGCTCACTGGCTGAGCGAGGGGCGGGCGCAGCGCCAAGGGTTGCGATCCCGTTGCCGGTCCCGGTCCGGTGCGGGTGCGACACTGAGGGTTGCGGTCCGTTGCCGGACACAAAAAAAGACAAAAAAAAAGAATGGAGGCCCGGATGACTTTGTTCATAGTTCCTTTGGTCTGTAGTGTCTTTGCAGAATCAGCCTCTCTCAAAAACAGACATTCACTGATCTTTTAAGTGACCTAATAGGTACTCTGTGTTTCTGGTTCTCTTTCAGTGGGTTATCTTCTGGCCTCAGAGTATCCCTTATCAGAGCCTTGGACCCTTGGGCTCCTTCACTCGGTACTTGCTGGACCACCATCATACCCTCCTGCACAATGGGTAAGGGGAGCTGCAGTAATGGGATGTGGACCCTGCAGCTTCAGACTCACTGGAGACCTGGAAGGCTTTTAGATATCTAAGAGTTGTGCTAGTTAACATTAAGATACCTTTCTTTTTGAAGTTTCTGTGTTAGATTTCATCAGCACATAACTATCACCTTAAACTAGACTGACTTTTTGATTGTTGTTTCAGGTATTGGCTTGCCTGGCTGATTCATGTGGGAGAGTCCTTGTGTGCCATGATATTGTGCAAGTAAGTCTTTGTAGTGGCTCTTTGTCACCTTTCTCTTGGAATCTAATATAAGTTGCAAATAGCCACATTTAAATAATTCATGTACTTGTAGACTGAGAGTGGTACTCTCAGGGTAGAATTGAATATCCTCGTGCCTAATACTGAGCCTGGTGCAGAGGGAATACTCAGTAAATATTTAATGAATGAATTCATTTCATTTGTGTTAGTTAATCAATTATTTAGTTACTTAATTTAGATAGTTTTTGTTATTTTTTTAAAATCTGTATAACCCCAACTAGCACAAAAGATTTAAGAGTCTGCCTTTTAGTTGAAAAAGAGCTAAGCTATTGACCTATGCCAATGGATTCTCAATCCTGGTTTCACAACTGAATCACCTGAGGAGCTTTTTCAAAATGTGCAAGTCCGATTTCCAGACTCAAAGATTCTGATCTGGTAGATATTGCTTCATACATAAGAATATGTTCTTTTTTATAGCTCCACAGATAATTCTGGGGTGCAGTGCAAGTTAAAATTCCCCAAATCAGACCCTACTCAGCAGATGACAGTGTAAGTTAATACTGTGTGAGAATACAAGAAAAATTTCTCTGTACATTTGTACTTTACATAAGCATATACAGAAAGTATAGTGCAATGAAAAAGATGGTTAGAGTAATTTCAGATTGCTTTACAATTAATATTTTTTTCTGGTCAAGATTAACTATCACTCTATTATTTACTTTTGAAAGTAGAAAATAATTTTAAGAAGACAGAAAGAAAAAATAAAATAAAAGTGGAAGATAAGATACTTTACTACTATTTTTATTTTTTAATAATAAAAACAATTAATATTGATTGGGTGAGTACTATGCCAGACTCTGCTAAGTGTATTTAAGTAGATTATATTACTCTTATTTTCTTATTAAATAAGCCGTACTTTCTAGGAGAGGAAAAGGAGCCTTTCTCACTCCTCTCCACGTAAATTTACCCTGCAGGTTGTTCTCTGCCTCCCATCCTATCCCTGGATAAAACTTCAAGCAAATCCATGGGTTTTTCACATACTATCTGATATTGTCCCGTCTAGTCCAGTCTATTTGTTAAAACTATAAACTTTCTTCTGTTTCACAACGCTTGCTCTCAGCCAGCTGGGACTCAGGAACCTGCTGTAGGGACGAGGGTACAGCTGATGTCTTCTCTTCATTCCACCTGCTCGCAGCCCCCTTGGAATGGTAGGAATAGTTAGGCACAGTCTTAAATGGCAGCTGCTGTGGATGATCAGGCAGCAGAGTGCTGTGTATGTTGCATACCCAGTTGTGGCTCTTTCTCTCTAAAGGGCCTTTGGTGGACTTTTGGGAAACCACCCATCAACAGGGATCTCCCTTCTGCATTTCCCTTGATGGTTCCTTCAGATGCCTCCTCCAGCCTGCCACTTGTACTTTCACCCTTAGGAAACTTTCAGTGTTTGGGGGGAATTACCCTTTAATTGAGAACATTTCTATCCTTCAGTTGGGCTACTGAGGAAGAGTTCCTTTTAACCTACCTATGTCAAGTGCTCTTCTACAAGATCTGTATGGCTCACAGTAAACAGCTTCTTTATCCCTCCAGTAGGATAATCTGCAAGTGCATGTAGTTCTCAGTACAGCCATGGTTCTTTGCTTTCCCACCAAGCAGGCTGAACCAATCTTTACACTTTTGAATCAGAATTAATCCTTTCCCCAAATCCCAGGGGACTTGTGTCAAGCTCTCTAAGTGGTCTTTTGAAGCCTTCCTCTGGGCCTGGCTTGTAGTAGGAAATGCCAAAGCACTCTGGTACCTCTTTCCAATGCCCTCTTCAGCCTCTCAGTGAAATCAGCACGGAGGTGTTTTGTCAAGCCCCTCATGTCAGAGTGTAGGAGTACTTGACACCTGTTTTGTTATTGACATTAGAACCTCTAATGGAAACCAAAAGACTCAAATTTAACATCCTATTATACAGTTCTTTGAAGGGCAGAGGGAGAACAGGCATAGAGAGGTTGGGTCACTGTTATTCTTGAAATCATTTATGTATGTTCTAACATATTGGAATGTATCATTGGTCACTATAATCAGAATAAATATTTCTTTTAAATTATTAGGTGAATGAAAAAGTAAATAAATTTGAGTGAATAAATACATGAAGACATGTAGTACATTTGCAGCCTCCCAAATTCCACTACCCAGGAATAACTACTTGTAACATTTTGGTGAATTTCTTTTTTAAAAATGCATAAGTGTTGATTAATATTTTAACTCAATAAGCAACATGTACAAAACAATATTCTGGGCTCTAGATAAATACAGAAATGACCTTGGAGGAAAAAAGCAGGTGACAGAAAACTACTAAACACCTTGTATGTGACAGGTCCTAAACAGGCATTTGAATGCACAATCGGGATATTAGTATGGAGTTTCCTAAATCCCATATTTTAAAAATAGGGGTTAGCCAGTTAGCTTAGTTGGTTAGAGCACAGTCTTGCAACACCAAGGTTAAAGGGTCAGTTCTCCTTACCAGCCAGCCACCAAAAAAATTAGGAATAAAAATACATGCTTTTTTTGGTGGATTCCTTTTAACCAAAGGTAAGGTTGAAGTATATGTTTGATTTTATATGTATCGTAATTGTATTCTTACGCACTTTCCCATGATTTAAAAGTTTCTTGGTAAATAATTTTAAAGTTTGCAGATTATTCCTCTAATAGATATTTCATGATTTATTTAACTAAGCTTCTAGCAATGAATATTTACTTTTTTAACCATTTTTTATTACTATAAGCAATGCTGCAAGGTCCAGGGTTCAATTCCTATACTGGCCAGCTACCAAAAAATTAAAATTAAAAATAAGCAATGCTATAATGAATTTCTTTTTTCTGTAAAATTGTTATGTATTTCTTATTTTCTTCCATAGGCTAAATTCCTGGATGAGGAATTACTGAGTAAAGAACAATTTTAAAGCTCTTGATACTTACTGCAAAATGACAGTAGGGTATTACCATTTCACATTTTCACCAGCATTCTATGAGAGTGCCAATTTGGGAGAGAAAAGCTCTTTGCTATTTTGGTAGGTTAAAAAGGGTATCTAACCATTTATTTGATTACTAAATGAAGTTGAACTCTTCCTTGAAAGACCCCTTACAATAGTTCTTGTTATGTAATAATATTTTAACAAAGAAGCTAGAAAGGTTTTTCCTTCCTAATAAATGTAATATAGATGGCCTGTAACTTAACAATGGTTTGACTTATGATTTTTCAATTTCAAGGTTGGCTGCCTTTTTTTTTTTTTTTAAGATGAAACTGATAATGACTGTGGCTTAAAGTAATAAGGATTACATTCTTTTTCACTTTCAGTACAGTATTCAATAAATTACGTGAGATAGTTAACACTTTATTATAAAATAGGCTTGTATTAGATTTTGCCCACCTGTAGGCTGATGTAAATGATTTGAGCACATTTAAGGTAGGCTAAGGTTAGCTATGATGCTTGGTAGGTTAGGTGTGTTAAATGCATTTTCTACTTACAATATTTTCAGTTTATGGTGGGTTTGCAGGGACGTAACGCCGCTATAAGTGAAGAACTATCTGTGATAGCTCTTTGAGGCCAACATTAATGTTCATTGTTACTTTGTTACCATCTGGAGTTTTCCATTCAGAATATATGACTTGTTCTCTTTGTCCAGAAATTAGGTCCTTGCTGCTTGTGTATTCCAGTTTGCTCTGCAGTCCTTAGAAAGGTTTTTCAGGTCTTAAAAAAGTTCGTATGTAGAATAGATTTGATTGGAATATAAAAATAGGACAGAAGTTCTTGGCAAGTGGAAGTGCACTTGATAGGGCAGCCTATCTGTGATAGGGAAGCCTTGGGTAACCAGAACAAGTAAATTGTGAAAATTTTCAGGGTGCAGAAATGACTTTTTTCCTAGGGCAGGTGAAAATGTACTCACAAGCAAAGATACTCTTACATCTAGCTTGGTCTTGGTGAAATCATTAAGGGAAATGACAAGCCTTTTTAAAAAGGTTTTTGTCTTTTAAAGACAAAATGATCTGTTTACGTGACAAAGTACAGAAAAAAAATAAAAGGCAAAATGGGTTAAGAATACAGATAAAGATATGTGGAGGAGTACAAGTTATAATGACTCAGATGGCGCAGCTACCAACTTTGACCCCTCTGAAGAATGGGGAAACAAGTGCTGCAGTTCCGTGAGCCTGCTATTGCAAGGTAGCAACTAATCCTTCTTTTTCTTTCCTAAGTATCTTACACATTTTTAAGTTCATATCAATTTATTTCCCCCAAAAAAATATTTTTGTTTTGCTCATTTCAAAACTAAACACGTTCATTGTTAAAAGTTACACATTTTGCTAAAAACTCAAAAGCATATAAAATTGAAAGTGAAGGTTTCCCGTAATCCCAAAAATAGTCTCTATTAAGAATTTAGTGTATAAGGGCTGGCCAGTTAGATCAGTTGGTTAGAGCACGGTCAAGGGTTTGGATCACCAGACCAGCCAGCCAACAAAAAAAAAGACAAAAAAGAATCTAGTGTATATGATTATAATTTTATGCATTTATAAACAATTTTATGTATATACATATAGATATAAACACTTCTATAACTTTTTTCCATTGTCACATACACCTATTTTTCCAAGTCTATGCATAGAAATCCTTCTGATAGACTTTTAAGCCTCTTGTTGTTTTTTACTGTTGTAAGCAATACTGCAATGAATATGAATTTCATATATTTGGCCCACTTTTGGTACTTATTCCCTTAGAATAAATTTCTAGACCTGGAATTTGGAGACTAAGGAATGAATATTTTAAATTTTGATATATATAGCCATATATATTTGATATATATAGCCAAATATCCTTTCTCACTGTCTTTCTACTCTTTTGGGTCTTTTGATAAATAGCAGTTTATCAATATAGTCAAATTTATTATTTTCTTTATATTAAAGTCACCAAGTTTTTTTTTTTTTACAGTATCTTCTAACAGTTTTAGAATTTTGCCTTTCACACTTAG